TCGGTAGTTTTGTTCCTTTTCTCTTTGGTCTCAGGTCCTCTTCATCGAGGAGCGAGGGAATATTGAGCCTAATAGTTGTTGGCAGATTATCGTTTGTTAATTCTTGGTCTACCCAAGTCAATGGTCTTGATAATTGTGGCATTATGAGGTTCAGAAGTAGAAATTGAGGATTGTAATAGAGTGAACTTGGCAACAGCTTATTTTATACGTTTCTTTGATTTCTGTGCTATAACGAATAAAGTTTCACAATAAGTGTGATGCGGTACATTTTTTATCTAGTATCGAGCTTAAATATCTATTTTTTCTAACGTAGCGGTAGTACATCCATATGCATACATGGATCTAGCCTTTTCTAATAATAACTACATGTAATTTGTCTAACCGGGAAGTCATTGAAATTAGAGAAGCATTAAGTAGTTCTATTCTACATTTTTTAAAATGCTCGATAAACTTTTAACGTAAGGTTTTATTTTTATTGTTGGAATTCTAAAAATGTTTGCGAAAATAAAATATTTTACTTCGTCAAATTACGAATTATTTTTTTATGCGAGCATTTTCCTTTGTCTAAAAAAAATGCATAAGAAAACAGATTGAGAATGTTTAAATATTGTAATGTGAATCGCGAAGACCAAAAGTAAACGAATAATGAAAACGCTTGCATAAATACTTTTTACGTATGCAATCAGCATCAGTTCAGCTTATATGCGAGTAGACTCAAAATGATTCCTAGGAATTGAGAAATGCAATTTTTCAAATCATGTCATTTGTTCCTATAGTAGAATTACACAAGCTCTTGAAAAATCTTGCTGAATCGTATGATTATCCTGTGTGTCATGTATTGTCTCATGTATTATCTCTCAGGATCTTGACTTTATTTGATTAAAATAAAAATTCACGATTTATACATTTTTTTAAATAAAGAATATAATTAAAGTTTACTTTGTTTACATTGTGTCATGGGAGATGAATAAAAACTATTTCTATGAGGAGGTTCCGAATGCACGCTCTTGAGGGTTACAACAAGATTTATCTGCAGATTGTTTTGCACGTTGGGAAACCGACATCTGTTTCGTCGGATATCACTAGTAAAAAGAATGGCGCATTTTTAATATTGTTCTTTGTGACTTCCAATCTTCCCGTCAATGTTAAATTCAACTTTTTTATATTTAAAATAATATAATTACTGTGCGTGTTTGTGTGTGTGTATATAAATATACTATCTTCTGTTTTATAATATAACGGATAGATTTTCTTACAATTATAACTAAAAAAGGAAAAAAATCAATGAATATTATATGTATTTGTATTTGATTGGTATTTGCAACATCAATTACAACATGTTGTTAAAAGTAAGACAGCGCGTTCTCACAGAAAGACACGCGTGCACATTTCATGATGGGATTTTCTTTTGGTGATGATTTTCATGTTACATCTACTGTACATGTACATACATGTATATTTACCAAAATCCATTATATATTTCATTAAGATGCTTTACTTGGAATAGCAAACAATTCATTTTTAAAAAACTCATTAGAATTCTCATAAGTAGTTATTATGTGATTTCTACTTTTATTTTTTTGAAATAAAACCCATGAATATATTTGTTAATAGAATAATGAGTTTTTATTTCGCAAGAAAAAGTTTTCTTTATATCTTTAAGATATTCCCATGCGATAAGAGAGAATGCAAAAACTATTTATTGGCGTCATATAGCTAAAAATGCTCAAAAATACGCATTGTTGCTTTCTTCATATTATTTCAATAAATCAAATCACTTATATGTTACAAAGGGGTCTTTGTTTAGGTGGATAGAAGTATTCTTTTTGGTTAGCAAATAATCCGATATAGAAGGCAAAAACTATTAGGCTCAATATTCCCTCGCTCCTCGATGAAGAGGACCTGAGACCAAAGAGAAAAGGAACAAAACTACCGA